TTATCAAATTAAGCCTTGCCCATGTGATTAAGTCTCCATAAAAATAAATCCATAAACAGGGTGCCTCAGTCAACAGAGCATACAACTCTTGATTTCAGGGTAGTGAGTTCAAGCCCCACATTGGGTGTAGAGCTTACCTTAAAAAAAATCCAGGGACACCTGGGTGGCTCAGTTGGTTAAGCGGCTGCCTTCGGCTCGGGTCATGATCTCAGGGTCCGGGAATCGAGTCCCGCATCGGGCTCCCTGCTCAGTGGGGAGCCTGCTTCTCCCTCTCCCTCTTCTTGTGCTCTCTCTGTCAAGTAAAAATCTTAAAAAAAAAAAAATCCATAAACTACAGAGAGCTTCCAGGTTGGTGAACATCTATCCATGTGCCGGAGGATGGTGCACTCCAACTCCACAGGGACAGAGCTCCTCCAACTGGGGACCCTTTGGACCTCACCCTTAGGCTACACCTAAAAGGATGATGATGTTTTCACTTAGCCCCATTGCCTTAAGGGTTCAGGGACATATTGGCTGTTTTGGAAGAGTTTTGAGGTCCTTACAGAAAGAAAAATTTCCCTGGGCAAGGAAAAGGGGATCCAGCAGAAGGAGCTCCAAGGATGTCTCTAGCAAAGGAGAAATCTAGAGAAGTGAAATTGACTCAAGAAAGCACTCCAAGGTTGCCTCTGTGAAGAGATCTAGACCATAGAAAATGAGGGGAGGGGTGTTTTCTGGGATAAATAGGGCTTCTGGGATGTTCTATTGCTTGATCTGAGTGGTAGTAGATAGTTGTTCACACATAGCTGTTGCCATTTTATGTTAAACTGATACCTGCATGTGTGACTATTTAATATACTTTTCTGTATGGTATATTTTACAATACAAATGTTTTAATAATTGCACATACTCCACTTTACACAGCTGGAAATCAGAATGAATAGCTTTTTAGTTCTTCTATTTCAACGATGACTGCTTATCCCTACATAATACTGCATCCAATTTAATAATCGTCCTAATAAACTATTAAAAATTCTGATGTCCCAAAATTATTTCTGTCCCAACTTTATTTCCATGCTTCCATCAAGTATTTCAAAGAAAAAAAATACCAAAGCATCAAGATAATATTAACATTTATGCAGTAGTGTATTTATTTGATTGCCTTCTATATGAAGCTGAAAGCCTCTACATGACTAAGTCAATATCATATAAATATTTTCATCATCAGTATCTTGGGTATGTGTCTGTCATGTTCTAGGCATCCATATATCTTTGCTTGAGTAAGTGAATAACTAGATTCTTTGAAGAAAAGAGAAATTGTTGTGAATGCATCATTAGTAATTTGAGATTTTTTGTTCACCATTTAAGAGTAGAATCCTGGTGCTTGGGGATCTCGAATAACAATATCAGTGGGCTGAGAGTGGGGTAACATGCCACCAGAAAGGTGATAGTGTGCTGCAGCCAAAGGTGAGATTTGAAAAAACAAAAAACATTATAAACTGTAAGGATAGAATTGGTGAAGTAAAGAAAAAAATGAAGATGCTTGCTAGAAGCAGGATTGTTTCAGTGGCTTTTGCCTCTGGAGAGAATTTGTGGGCATTTCTGAGGGTGTGAATATGCCTCATTCTATGGTGGTGTCCATGTAGGAGAAGTACCATATAAACACTGGCCCCAGTCATGATTCCCATGAATACAACACCTGGGAAAGTCTCTCCAGCTCAGGAGAGAAGTTGCAGCAGACCTCACTGCCAAACAACTAGGGAACATCTCTCAAGTTTTATCATTCAATGTGAAGTTAGCTGTCAAGCTTTGGTAGGTAATATCTATTAAGTTGAAGACAATATATTTACATCCGTTTTGCTAAGCAGTTATTTTTTCATTAATTATCATTAATATTTTTATCATTTAATCTTGCATTATCATTGCAAGAACCCTGGCACTCAAAATACAGATAAAAATCAACAATTTTTGCAATAGTACTTTTTTCAAATATATTTTTTATTGATGTAAAAATACACATAATATAAAATTAGCATTTCAAAGTATACAATCCAGTGACATTTACTACATTCACAATGTTATGCAACTACCACCTCTACCTAGTTCCCATTTTCATCATTCTAAAAAAACAAATAAATCCATAACCATTAATCAGTTTCCATGTGCTCTTCTCCTCAGGCCCTAGAATCCACCAATTTGCCATCTGTCTCTATAGATTTACCTATTCTGCACATTTCACACAATATGTGGTTCTTTGTGTCTGACTTTCACTTACCATGTTTTTTTTTTTCACTTACCATGTTTTTGAGACATAACATTCAACAACACTTCACTTGTATAGGTAATCAATATTCCTTTATGTATACATATGTGTATACATGTATATACATACACATACCACATTTTGTTTATCCATTCATCCACTGGTGGACACTTGGATTATTTCCACCTTTTGGTTATTGTGAACAAGTGCTGCTGTGAACATTCATGTAGAAGTACTGAAGTACCTGCTTTCAATTTTGTTGAATATATAGCTGGGAGTGGAATTCCAGGGTCATTTAGTAATTCTATATTTAACTTTTTAGGGAACTGCCAAATTGTTTTCCACAGCAACTGAACCACTTTCCATTCCAGCTATGTTCAAGAATTCCAATTTCTGCAATGTAATCCTTAATATTAGTAAATACTGGGCATTTTAGGAAATGCTAAGAGAGAAAATGTTTCTAGTGCCCATGTTTTCATAATAAATCCAAAGTTCCTGCATTACACAGCACTTGCAATAAATATACATGAACACAAGTCTTTTCAACCCCTTTCATCTCATACGTTGCTTATTTTTTAGTATTCCATGTAAATCTTTTATCACTTTTGCATATCTAAGAAATAAGGCTCTATAATAATGGAGGTTTCAAGTAGGATAGTTCATCACACTTGGCAGAAACACTACAAAAGACAGCAGAAATAAGGAGAGCAAACTTACAGTCTAATTCTTTAGAATTCTTATTGAGATAAATTATATATTACAAGATATTCTGATTTATAAGGAAATAGAACATTCCTATTTACATGAGATTTTATTACATAATGTTCTATGTCTATGCTGAGAATTTATTAAACCCTAAAAATTATGTTCCTTCATGTAATTCCAAAAAATAATAAAGTCAAATACATAAAGTCCATGTTATATAGTATAGCCCACAATATAACCCCTACAAATCATTGTCACAATATATATTTTTTTATATATTCAAATGGCATCATATTTGCAGTGAAAATGTCTAATATTTTTGGTAGAATATTCTCTGGAATCCTTTCTAAAACAATTATGTTAAGCCCTTACAAAATAATTTCATTCTATACATGGCTTCCAAGTTTAGCTAATTACCCAGATCTAAAATGCCATCAAACGTAGAAAAGCTGTAACAACTAAATGAGGACATTCCATTGACTATAACATGCATCACAATTGAAGATACGGTCAGATGTGAAGAAATAAATCCAGAAATACAAAAATAAAACACAATTAATCACTGATGCTTTTGCCACATTCACTGCTCTGTGTAGAGCAAATTATATTTTTTAAGAGCTTATGATGTTTAATGACATCAAATCCTCCATAGAAAGCATTTTTAGTGACTATAATCACAGTATTTCTATAATATATGATATGATTCCTTAAGGATTACTGAACCTAGAAATTGTTCCCTTGTCTGAGAATAGGATCTCTCTGCTATGTGTATTAGAGAGCAATTAAAAGCTCTGAATTGTACCTTGTTTGAGGAAATCATCAGCATCCTAGAAACTCTGACTGGAAAGCAAGGGCTTTGGGTGAGTGCACTAAACTCTGCCTCTGGACTTCTTCCCAGCCTGCTCCTACCTACTGGTCCTGGACCTGAGCCGCGTCTTCCCTCCACATCCCTGTTGCAGACTAGCTGCCCCCACAGCCCACATCTTTTTACCCTGGCCATTTCTCCTGCCTAATGGGGTTTTATGCAATTTGGAGTTTTTTTCATAAACTGACATTTTTATTTGTATAGCCTTTAGTCAATGGGAGATTTTTGTAATAAGAAACCAAGGACTTCCCTTCAGTCCTGGACAGGTTTTCCCTCTGATTCCAACTCAGAGTTTTATATACCTTTCTAGTTTACAACTCACTAAATGTGTGAATATACTTCACCCCCTTTACTATTCTACATTCTTAAAGTCCTATTTTTGTTTTACGTTTCAGAAATTGTGAAACATAATCTGTTCAATAAAATATGAAATTACTTTAAAAGGCTCTGAATCGTAAATAAAGCATTGTAGATAATCACTGCAATTAATGACATTTCTTTCTTGATATGCGATGAGTTTTGTGGCCAAAGGATTTAACTATTATATGATTTTGCAGATAATTAGTGGCTTTGACATGTAGATGAAGGCTTTACTACGTTTACTACACTAAATAGGGGTTTCCTCCTACTTGAGTTTGCTGATGTAAGGAAGATATGATTTAATTGGGAAGACTGTACCACATTCATAGCATCTGTAGGATCTCTCTCCTGTACAAGATGGTCAAAGAGTTTTGACTTTCTAGAGAATGCTATCATTATCACAAAATTCCTGAAATTTTTATGTACAATGAGATGTGATCTTTCTTGGCTTTTCTGCACTAACTGTAACTGCAGGGTCCCTCCCCTTAATGAATACCCTAATGTATACCAAATGTGATTTGAAAAGAATGATTTCCCACTTTCACCACATTCACAGGTGTTGCCTCCTAAACGCACAGCCTGTGACTTTCAAATGAAATTTTTGACAATCACTGCATTTACAATGTTTCTCTCTTTTGGCGAGATCCCTGTGGTATACCAGGAGGAGTCTTCAGATGAAAGGCTTACAACTTTCTTTGCATCTATAAGGTTTATTTCCTATAGAAGTTCCAGAAAGGTCTACTATAATCACAGCATTCATGGCATTTGTATTTTACATGAGTTCTCTGAAGAGATAGGACTAACCAAAAACTATTTCTCACATTTCTACAGTCATCGCATAGAGAATTTTCCTCTATGCTGAGTTTGCTGATGATTAGTAAGAGCTGACTTCCGAAAGAAGGCTTTTTGACAATCATTGCATCCATAGGGCCTCTCTCCTGTGTGAGTTCTCCGGTGACCCATGAGAGTTGACAAAGTAGCAAATGCTTTTTTACAATCACAGCATTCATATGGTTTCTCTCCTGTATGAATTCTCTGATGTACAGTGAGATAGGATTTAGCCGTAAAGGCTTTACTACATACACCACATTTGAAAGGCTTCTCACCTGTATGGGTTCTCTGATGTATAATGAGAGTTGACTTACAGGACAAAACCTTTCCACATTCACTGCATCCATGAGATTTCACTCTTGCATGACAATTTTGCAAATGGTTAGTGAGACCTGACTTCTGGATGAAAGCCTGTTGACATTCACTGCATCCATATGGTCTCTCTCCTGTGTGAATTCGCTGATGAATCATAAGATGTGCCTTAGTGGAGAAGGCTTTCTCACAATCTGAACATTCATATGGTTTCTCTCCTGTATGAATTCTCTGATGGGCAATAAGATGTGCCTTTGATGTGAAAGCTTTATCACATACACTGCATTTGAAGGGCTTCTCACCTGTATGGGTTCTCTGATGTATAATGAGAGTTGACTTAGAGGACAAAACCTTCCCACATTCACTGCATCCATGAGATTTCCCAACTGCATGCTGAATTTTCTTATGATTAGTAAGATCTGACTTCTGGATGAAGGCTTGCTGACATTGACTACATCCATATGGTCTCTCTCCTGTGTGAATTCGCTGATGAATCATGAGTTGAGCCTTTTTTGAGAAAGCTTTCTCACAATCCAAGCATTCATATGGTTTCTCTCCTGTGTGAGTTCTCTGATGCACAGTGAGATGTGTCCGAACCATGAAGGCTTTATCACATACTTTGCATCTGAAAGGTCTCTCTCCTGAATGAGTTCTCTGATGTAAAGTGAGTTTTGACTTCCAAGGAAATGCCTTCCCGCATTTACTGCATGTATAGGATTTCCCTTGTCTATGACGAGTTTTCTGATGATAGATGAGTGCTGACTTTGTAATGAACGCTTTTTGACATTGACTACATCCATACGGTCTCTCTCCTGTGTGAATTCGCTGATGGATTATGAGCTGAGCCTTTTTTGAGAAGGCTTTATCACAATCCAAGCATTCATATGGTTTCTCTCCTGTGTGAGTTCTCTGATGTACAGTCAGATGTGTCTGAACCATAAAGGCTTTATCACATACTCTGCATCTGAAAGGTCTCTCCCCTGAATGAATTCTCTGATGTAAAGTGAGTTTTGACTTCCAAGGAAAAGCTTTCCCACATTTACTGCAGGTATAGGATTTCCCTTCTCTATGATGAGTTTTCTGATGACAGATGAGTGCTGACTTTGTAATGAAGGCTTTTTGACACTGACTGCACCCAAATGGTCTGTCCCCTTTGTGAGTCTGTTGATGAGTAATTAGCTTTAACTTACTGGGAAAGGCTTTCCTACAATCACAGCATTCATGGGATTTCTTTCCTGCATGAGTTCTCTGAAGCACGGTCATGAGTGGTTCATAAGCATTCACTGCACATTTATTGCAACCATATCGTTTCTTACCTAAAGGATTTGGGTCATAATTAGTGAGCTCTGACTTTTGAGTGAAAGCCAGTGTACCCACAATAGAATGAGCAAGATAATAAGGAAAGGTCCAGAAAAATATTTTTTTCCATTTACTATGAAAATATTAATGAGACAATCTGTAAAATTTGAGTAAGCTCTGTAGATTGGGTAATAGTTCTGTATCGATATCAATATTCTGATTTTGATTTTTGATACATCTCCCAGTATTTTGGTCACTTGAAAAAATTAACTTGTTTCTAGGAAATACACATGTAAGTATTTAGGGGTAAAGAGTTCAGAAAAACAGGATGTATGTATGTGTGTGAATGGAATAATAGGTGGATAGAATGTGATAACGCAAATGTGGTAAAATATTACCACTTAGGGAAATCCACAAAAAGAATATGTAAGGGGTGCCTGGGTGGCTCAGTTAGTTAAGCATCTGTCTTTGGCTCAGGTGATGATCTCATGATCCTGGGATTGAGCCCTGAGTCAGGCGCTGTGCTGTGCTCCATGGGGAGTCTGCTTTTCCCTCTGCCCCTCACCCTACTCATTCTCCCTCTCTCTCAAATAAGTGAATAAAACCTTTTAAAAAAAATATGTAAGAAATTTGTGTTTAATTTTGGGATTTCTCACTAAGTCTAAACTATTCAGAAATAACATTTTCAAACTTTTTTTTTTAAAGATTTTATTTATTTGAGAGAGAGAATGAGATAGAGAGAGAGAGAGCATGAGAGGGGGGAGGGTCTGAGGGAGAAGCAGACTCACTGCTGAGCAGGGAGCCCGATCCCTGGACCCTGGGATCATGACCTGAGCTGAAGGCAGTTGCTTAACCAACTGAGCCACCCATGCGCCCTGGAAATAACATTTTCAAAGGGAGAAAAATATAAAATATATAAAATATATAAAAATATAAAAAATATATAAAAACCTTTATGTAAAGATATGTAGGAGTATTACTTATAACAGCCTGAATGTGGAAGGGATAATTTGTTTTATATTCACACAATGGCATCCTGCACAGTACTCTGGTACTCTTGATCTAGTGCTGGTTACACAGTATACTGACTGTAAAAATTAACTGAGCTGTACCCTTATATCTATATATTTTTGTGTGTTTATGTTATACTTCAAAAAATTTTTACATAAAAAAGTAAGCAAAAATTTAGGCAGGAGTCAGGAAATGCTCACTAGTAACAGGATGCCATTCAAGGTCATAGTGGGAGAGAGATGACATGTCCTGATTTTCACTATAAGTTGTTAATCTTGTATGTATATATATCAGTTATCACACTAACAAGGTCTTAAGTGTTGTGACATAAATACTATTTTTAGGATTGTGGACTGTGCTTGGGAAAATTGGTAAAGACCTGCTATGGCATACAGCATTTTTTTGGATTATACTTTAGATCTTCCCTCTTTCCTCCAACTCAGAAGACTGTTTTTTCCGTATGATGGTTTAATTATCTTCCATACCCAGATAATTGTCAGAACCTGACGTCTTTATAAATCTGCATGTTTCTAAAGTTTGTTTTAGTCTTCATGAATTTCGGGGGTGAGAGGATGGAAAAACTGACTTTTATTACTTTTTAAAAATAAATAATAAAAAAGGACCAAGAAATCTGGCTATTATGTGGAGAATAGAGAGAAGCAAGAGTAAAGAAGTGAGAGCATTCTCAAGAAAACTATGATAACTTTGGCAAGAGACAACGGATGTTGGGGCTTGGGTGAAACAATAGTTATAGAAAGGAGTGGAGGGTGGAGGACCCCCAGATATAATAAGGAGAAAGTACAGACTACACTCACTAATGGACTGGATTTGTGGTGTAAGTGAGAAGAGGAACCAAGAATGACAGGACGTTTGAAGTAGTTATTAGATCGCCAAGTGCAGAAATGAAATATCTAGGCGAATGTGTGTGGATAAAAGAAGGTCTGGGCTGGAGACAGAAATTTGGGGCTCATCAGCATATAAATAGTATTCTTAAGGCCATGAAAATGAATGAAACCACACTAGGAACAAATGATAGAAATAGGCAAGGATGAAGCTTCATTCTCTCTGACTCTGGAGACTTTTGAAGATGCCCAGAGAATGGAGAAAGTCCATCCATCAGGTGCAAACAATGACCAAAAAAAGATGCCAACATAAATTTTGAACAAGTATCTGGTAGAGGCAGGTTAGAATGAAGCATCCTTGGGGCGCCTGGGTGGCTCAGTCATTAAGCATCTGCCTCAGCTCAGGTCATGGTCCCGGGGTCCTGGGATCGAGCCCTGCATCGGGCTCCCTGCTCAGTGGGGAGCCTGCTTCTCCCTCTCCCACTCCCCCTGCTTGTGTTCCCTCTCTTGCTGTGTCTCTCTCTGTCAAATAAATAAAATCTTTAAGAAAAAAAAAAGAATGAAGCATCCTTGCCTTCTCACTCAAAGATAAGCATAGTTAAGCTCTCTTACTGATTCTTCTCTAATTCTTCATGTAACAGACAAGCTCTAATATATTTAGACACAACCACTGTGATCAACATTCCCACCTTTTAGGTTGTTTTGATACATTTTCAGATGGCCCACAGAAGTCCAAAAACCTGATCCCAGGATAAAAGGCTTCTGTGTTAACTAGAAGAATTGTTACATCACTTGATCAGGTAAAAGGGGTGAAAACAAGAGCTGCAGAGAAAATAGGAAGGGGCACTGCCACTGAGGAAGTGGAAGAGGAGGAGGAGGTCTGGAAGCTGCACAGGAAACATTCTACTGAACATGAATCAATCCAAAGAGAGAAAAAGAGGTGCACGTCTCCCTTGAAACACCAGGCAAATGAGAGCCTCATTAATGATTTCTGTAATTACCTTGATTAACATTAATGATTCTGTAATTACCGATTATCTGTAACAACCTTTAAAGTTTTAGCCTTGTTAAAACACATTTGTGAGGGGTCATCCCCTCACGGCCAACTACGTTACTCTCAAAGTCTCACATCTTCTTGTTCTCAGTTGCTCACTTACCTGAAAAGCACTGACACTGCATTTCATCTTCTACACTCCATGACTCTTCTCCATGCTCGAAATTAAGGATCATACCTGGCTTGGTAGCTGGATAGCCTGTTTATGGGAAATGACAAAGACTTGGACACTTATAAATGGACTTGGTGGGGGATATCTAGGAAAAGCACACAAGTCTCAGGAATGGACATAGTTTCACCTTGACAGATCCAATATCTGTCGAAGGTGAGAGCACATAAGTTCTATATGGAAACAGAAGACAGACTAAGAATCTACTGCCTATAAACTAAAGTCCAGTATCTTAAAGCTCTTTGGAAGCCAGGGCAACTGAAAAAGGAAAGGCTATTGTCTGTGACACTTTGAATGACACACAGCAATCATCTTTAACTATTGTCACAGGTTGCTATAATTCTCCAACATCATACCCAGATATAGATTCTTCTGAGCAGAACCTAGTAGCTGCCACTCTTCCCAGGTAAAGTCCACAGATACATCCTCAAATGACAATTCCTATAATAACACATTATTCTTCAATTTGTAGTGATCATTACTGAAGTGAAAAAGACCTCTAGGTATATGTTCTGGTTGTTTTTTACCATAACTTACAAAGGCTATGTCTTTCTGTAATAGTTTTTATTATTCATTATGGAAAGAAGTAAAATGCCATTAAATCTACTTTCCCATATTATAATATATAGATGTGTCAAATCAACATGTTGTACGTTTTTTTTAAAGATTTTATTTATTTATCTGAGAGAGAGAGAGAGTGAGAGAGAGAGTGCAAGAGGGGGTAGGGTTAGAGGGAGAAGCAGACCCCCCCACCGAGCAGGGAGCCCGATGCGGGACTCGATCCCGGGACTCTGGGATCATTACCTGAGCCGAAGGCAGTCGCTCAACCAACTGAGCCACCCAGGCGCCCAACATATTGTACATCTTAAATTTATATGTTATATGTCAAATATATTTCAATTAAAAACTCTATTGCAATTGTACACTTAATTATTGACTAATCTGAAAAATTAGAAGTTTTTGAAAGGTATATCCATTAAATCCTATAGGTAAAATATCCCTGAAATAGAAATCTCTGAAAAATATTTTTGTTTTTTTTTAATTTTTATTTATTTTTAAAAACAGTTTTAACATCTACGTAAAAGATAGAGAACTAAGTGCTAACATAAAAACACAGCAAATATTGGCCTTCAAGGAGCTTTTATTTTTTCCCAACTAAATACTACCTTTTATTTATTTTTATTGACATATAATTGACATAAAACATTAGTTTCAGGTTGTGCAAAATAATGATTTGCAATATATTTGTGAGATGACGATGACTGCCACAGTAAGTCTAGTTAGTATTTACTACTATATATAGTTACAGGGAAACATATATCAACAGAAAGAACATAGAATCAGACTTGAAATGACTGCACATGAGTAATTATGAGCATAGGATATTATGTTTTTAATATATTGAGAAATAAAACATCCAAAATATGGGGAAAGAATGAAATATTAAAATGACCATTCAGGGGCACCTTGGCTGGCTCAGTTGGTAGAGCATGTGACTCTTGATTTTGGGGTTGTGAGCTCAAGCCCCACACTGGGTGTGGAAATTACTTAAAAATAAAATCTTTTAAAAAATGACCATTCAGGGGGCGCCTGGGTGGCTCAGTCGTTAAGCGTCTGCCTTCGGCTCAGGTCATGATCCCAGGGTCCTGGGATCGAGCCCCGCGTCGGGCTCCCTGCTCCGCGGGAAGCCTGCTTCTCCCTCTCCCACTCCCTCTGCTTGTGTTCCCTCTCTCACTGCTCCTCTCTCTGTCAAATAAATAAATAAAATCTTAAAAAAAAAAAAGACCCTTCAGATGTATCTCTGATGTTCAGATGTGTATGAACCAGCAGAAAATTGAGCAGTTGAACCTTGAACAATGTAGAGGTTAGGGGCACCAACCCCTGTGCT